ACCCTGCCTCAAAAAAAAAAAAAAATTTAACAGCTGCATAGACTCCTGGGTCTCTCCCAGGGTCCCCTTTGCTCCTACTGGCAGGTGTCTTGGGGACTGGGGCCAAGGGTACTTATAATCAATGTGTATTAATTATTAGTAAATATTCAGTCCAATGCAGGTATTCAATTCGATGCAAACTGGGTGCTAGTGAGCATTGTCATCATTTCCCCCTCCAAACCCTGATCATTTCAATCATTTCATTGATTTGATAAATGAAGCTGGTTGGAAAACTAGAGCTCTCCATGCCAGAATCTTAAAAGGGAAAATACCCTAAAATGCCATCTAACCTCCCTCTCAACAGCCCTGTCCGATGTTCATCTGGCCTCAGCTTGAATGCTTCCTGCATAGGGCACTCACTGGACCTCCATCAGGGTTAGGCAGCTTTGCCCTCTGGTGTAAGTAGAACATATTCTCTGTCTTTCTGGATGAAGACGGCTATCCGTTCCCTGCAGTTCTCCTCTCCAGGTGACCATCCAGATCCTTTCCTGGGCTGCTTCTCTAGATTCTCTGCTTTGCCATCTATTCCCCTAAACTGAGTCTTGGAGCTCTGGATATGGGCTCACCTGCTCTGATCCCAGAGGGAACATAGTTCACTATTGAAATAGCATCTCCTAAGACCACAATGGAATTTTTTTTTTCTTTTTTTGAGACAGAGTCTCACTCTGTCACCCAGGCTGGAGTGCAGTGGTGCGATCTCGGCTTACTGCAATCTCTGCCTCCTGGGTTCAAGCAATTCTCCTGCCTCAGCCTCCTGAGTAGCTGGGATTACAGGCATGTGCCACCACGCCCGGCTTTTTTTTTTTTAGACGGAGTTTCCCTGTTGTTGCCCAGACTGGAGTGCAAATGGCACCATCTCAGCTCGCTGCAACCTCCGCCTCCCGGGTTCAAGCGATTTTCTCACCTCAGCCTCCCAACTAGCTAGGATTACAGGCACCCGTTACCACGCCCGGCTAATTTTGTATTTTTTAGTAGAGATGGGGTTTCACCATGTTGGCCAGGCTGGTCTCAAACTCCTGATCTCAGGTGATCCACTCACCTCGGCCTCCCAAAGTGTTGGGATTACAGGCATGAGCCACCACACCTGGCCCATGTTGGGATTTAAAAACAAAACAAAAAAACCTGATTATTTAAACATTTCAGGCCATCTAATCCCATGGCTCCTTCCCCTTTAGAGACCATCAGACTCACATCCTCATTCAGGTGGTCAGCCAATGAGTGGTCCAGCAGCAGAAGCCTGTGAAAGAGGTCCAGGCCCGAGGGGGCTGGCCCACGGGGTAGGTGAGGAGCCTTTGATTCTTCCAGGTCACCCCACCCTGAGGGACCCAGAGGCATCCCTGCCCAGACATCCACACTCAGCTCAGGGTTCTGCGGCCTAGAATGGATGAGACAGCAAGTCAGCCTCCCTTGTGTTCTCTGTCAACCTGCTTTGAGAGGCTCCCAGGGAGTTTAGGGGGAAAGGGGGAACTAGCCACTGACGGGAGATCCTGGGACCCAGAAACCATGGAATGTCATTCTTAGGAAGATCTGAGAGTTGTCCATTTTCTGCCACTGGGGGGACAGAAAAAAGGAGGACAACCAGCCGGGCGCGGTGGCTCACGCCTGTAATCCCAGCACTTTGGGAGGCCAAGGTGGGCGGATCACATGAGGTCGGGACTTTGAGACCAGCCTGACCAACATGGAGAAACCCCATCTCTACTAAAAATACAAAATTAGCCAGGGTGGTGGCGCATGCCTGTAATTCCAGCTACTTGGGAGGCTGAGGCAGGAGAATCACTTGAACCCGGGAGGCAGAGGTTGTGGTGAGCTGAGATTGCGCCATTGCACTCCAGCCTGTGCAAAAAGAGCGAAAGTCTGTCTCAAAAGAAAAAAAAAAAAAAAGGAGGACAACCAAAAGGGCTACGAATGGCTGGGCACGGTGGCTTACACCTGTAATCCCAGCATTCTGGGAGGCTGAGGTGGGTGGATCACCTGACGTCGGTAGTTCGAGACCAGCCTGACCAATATGGTGAAACCCCGTCTCTACTAAAATTACAAAAATTAGCCAGGCATGGTGGTAATCCCAGCTACTCAGGAGGCTGAGGCAGGAGAATTGCTTGAACCCGGGAGGCGGAGGTTACAGTGAGCCAAGATCACACCACTACACTCTAGCCTGGGCAACAGAGTGAGACTCTGTCTCAAAAAAAAAAAAAAAAGAAAAGAAAAAAGAAAGGGCTGCCAGGTGCGGTGGCTCATGCCTGTAATCCCAGCACTTTGGGAGGCCAAGGCAGGCAGATCACCTGAGGTCGGGACTTTGAGACCAGCCTGACCAACATGGAGAAACCCCATCTCTACTAAAAATACAAAATTAGCTGAGTGCGGTGGCACATGCCTGTAATCCCAGCTACCAGGGAGGCTGAGGCAGGAGAATTGCTTAAACCTGGGAGGCAGAGGTTGCAGTGAGCCGAAATAGCACCACTGCACTCCAGCCTGGGCA